TGCTTGTGTGTATTTTCTCTGGGTGCTTTGGTTTCTTCCCACAGACCAAAAAAACAAACAAACAAAAAAAAAAAAAAAAAAAACATACATTTTAGGTTGCCCTACAGACCCAGACCTAACTTGCAAAAGAGATCCTTGATCTCAATTGATTTTGCCTGGCTAAGTAAAGGTAACAAAATAATAAAGTCTAATACATCACCTCTTAAACTTTATCATTTTATATGAATACCATGTATACCATCAATGCCATAGAGCAGAGGTTCACAAAGTTGGGGTCGGGACCCACAATGGGGTCCCAAAACATCAAGGTGGGGTCCTGAAATGGTTTTCTAATTAATTATAAATTATTAAATTAATTATATTAGAAAATGACAACTAACAATTTTTTTGCCTTTGTTGTTACAAAAGAGTAAGGTTAGTGTGCTTAAAATGTACAAAAATAGCATAATGAATATTGTTATTATGCTCTTTTTTTACGTGAAAATAATGTTCACGATCCGGGGGTGCTCAAGTCTCTGCTGCTGGTATTTTGAGGGTCCAAGGCTAAAAAGTTTGGGAACCACTGCCATAGAGAGCACACACTGGAGTCTAATGGGGGACATATTCCAAATATGTGAATTACCATGCAAAACAAACAAATCAAACCGATATGAGCAAATAATTTGATTTGAGCATTAGGACTTTTTTTGAAGGTCAAGTACATGGTCTGCTTAGGAAGTCAACAACTCTAACTGTAAATTATCATGTAGAACAGCAAGATGAAAATGCAAACCTGAAGAAAGTGAGAGATGTCTCTACTGCTGGTGGCGTATTGGCACCTACTTAATGGATGTGCAGTAAATGACCCTGGTTCTACAGTGTTTGTCAGCATTAACGGCATTCCTTTCTGCTGAGAGTAATGCCACAAAACTGCAGGGCTGACAGTCTGCAGTGATTTGTCGCATTACAAACGCACCGTATCGTGACACTTCAATAATGGACCTGCGTGTTTTACTCAACAAATGGCACAATGACTGCCGCGATGGACGAAACTGGCTTCATTTTTATTCAGGTGGGGCTGTCCAGGTCAGTGCAGCAGGGCAAGGAAGGTGCAGGTGTGACAACATCAACAAAAGAGGGATCCATATTGATGATGAGTTAATGAAGAGGAATGGACCCCGTTGGAGAGTTTGTGCCTGAAGCGTCTTACTCTTCTGAAAAACTGCCAATATCTGCTCAATGAGACAGAGAGGACATCGGCCTGGAAGTTGTGTTTTTGCCTGAAGTATTAGAAGTTGGTATAGCTGGAAGTCCTTGACATTTAAAAGCTATATTTAAGGAGAACCACAGTGGCACAGTCAACTGAGTGTTATTAAAAACAAACAAAACAACCCCAAAACAGCAATAATCTACAAACAAGAAGGGCTGGTTCCAGTTCTGCTGTTGCAGGTTCAATTTACAATTTTTTACAATAATCCCCCTTGTTAAGCTTCATTGCAAACAAATCCTACTACGCCTTTGGTTTACGTCCTATGCTTATTGATTAGCGTTTATTTATTATAAAGGAAAAAAAAAGATGGGAATATTTATTTTAAGAAATGCTCAATACCACCGACTACGTCACATTGCTGTAAATATTGGGATATACTGGCTGTAGATGTAATATTTACAGTATGACAGGTAGGGGTGCRTGATAAATCAGCTCATCATTAATTCTGGGTGATTGGCGATTCGTCGATACTTGCATGAGAAGCCAAGTATCCTAAASCTTTTACTCTGAGATGTTGTCCTGTTAAAACAAGTTTGGATTGTTTCAAGGGTATTGTTCAATGTTTTTCATTAAAAATGATTGGAACATCGAAGGTGTATTGTGACTTTATAACACACGGACAGTGTCAGTTGTAAATAAATAAATAAATAAAT